AAGCCCTGTCCAGCTTAAGACATTTGGCAGCATCCTGGCCTGCCTGCTGGCTGGGGTCCTGTATCTTGTCAACCAGAACAGCGGAAGGCTTTTAGAAAAGAGAATCCTGGGCATGAAAGAGGTGCATTTCCTGGAGTCCCCGGGAGACGAGGACAGCATCCAGCTCCTCACTCAAACTGGCATCTACAGCTTTAGCTTCTCCAAACCTGAGGACAGCAACAAACCTGAGCCATGCCTGGTGGAGATGGTGTTCGAGGAGGCCTGCAGATACTACCAGAGGAGGAGCCTCAGCGGCTCCAAGTTGACAGTGGAGAAGTTGAAGAAAGGTGGCGTGTTCCAGGCTCCAGTGGCCCTCGCTGCCATACTGCAGCACAGCCTCCACCAGAAGCAGAAGCCAGCCCGAGGCCTCCAAGACACTTACGCTAAGCTGTTAAGCACAATGAGCCTGGAGCTGCAGAGCTACATGAGTCTGGAGCTTCTCAAGGCCTGTGTGGTGTGTGCCCCAGAGAGTGAGGTGGAAAGCTACTGTGAGGAGCTGGTGGAGCAGGAGGTCAGCCGCGTTCTGCACTCTGATATAGACAAAGACAACTTGGCCTACCTGAACTCTGTCTTTGCCTCCTTCCCCAAGGCTGCCTGGAAGGCCACGAGGAGCTGCCTGCAGCTGCAGCAGAACGGAGATGGCCTCTTGGTAGCCAGGGCCACCCCGGAGGTGTGGAAGAAGGTCCTGGGAGGGCCACAGCAGGAGGAGGTGGGTCAGAATGGGGTGGTCCCACTCTTTGAGCTCATCTGCGCCTCCTTCCTAAGGTTCAAACCCAAGTGGCTGCCCAGTTTTGTGGAGCTGACCCAGCAGTACGTTAGCATCTCTTGGTCATACAGCAGCAAGGAGGGCCCAGAGGGCCGGGTGCCGCTGTACAAGAGAGCTCTGGGAGTGCTGGCCAGGAAGAACAAGTGCAGCGAGGCAGATGATGAGATGGAGCTTGAACTGCTGCTCTGTAGCAAGAGACCTAAGGCCGTGCTGCAAGCTCTGCACCTTCTCATCCGCCTGAAGCAGTGGCAGCGGGTGGTGGAGGTGGCAGAGAAGTTCTCCAAGCTCAGCCCATTGCTTAACAAGGAGATATTCACCACACTGCTGGCGGAGTTTGCCCAGCACCGGGAGCTGGACCCTTACCTGGACACACTGTGGCCGCTGTGCCCCGCTGAGCTCACTGCCTCGGACATCCTCACCTTGGTCCTGCAGCACCTCCCTCGCTCGCAGGAGGACCCAGTGCCCTTCTCCAGTGAGCGGAACCAGCTGACTGTAGGCTTGCTCAAGCCGCTGCTGCAAAGGGTTGTGCAGCGTCCCTGTGTCCAGGACGAGATGTACTCGGATGCCTTGCAGAGCCCCACCTTCCCCCCTCCTACCCCACCCCGGGAGCACAAGATCCCCTCAAAAGCAGCAGCCGGTGATGCCCCTCAGCCACCTGTGTCAAGGACTTCCTCCCCCTCAGCGCTGGTGCAGAGTGACACTGTGTGAAGGGGGGAAGCACAACAGGGCCTTGGGTGCATGAGGAGGGGAAAGCCGCATCCACCTCAGGAAATCCTGCCCTGCCTGGCAGTGCGGAAGCCTGCTCCTTTCTGAAGCCTCCCTGTGGCTGCGTCTCGAAGAGTCCGTTGGGTGGCTGAGGTTGGGGGATCTCATCTGAAGCCAGGGCAGGCTTTCGGGCTATTTCTAACAAGTGCAATTGCGTGTGCCCCAGTAGAGGAGCAAATGCCAGGTGCATTTGCAGATGAAAGCACTGGCTGCGTTACAGAACTGCTCCCTGCTCAAAGCACTTTGTATTTGTTTTGCTTGGCTCCTTCATAAATTCACTTCTACTTCCCTGATCCTCTATGAGTGGTGGTAGCGTGGCGAGCAGGGACACAATAGCCTTTCCCCCTGCTCCATTCTGCTCACTGTGTTGGGTGGTGTCTCCAGGCTCTGCCTGTGAGAAACTGGGCATGTTTCTTCCAGTGAGGTCAGTGAGCTCTGCTGCTTTGGGCTCAGACAGATGCTAAATCCCAGCGTGGTGCAGCTCTGTGGTACTGGGGGTCCCAGCACACACACTGGCAGCTGCAGCACTCTGCGTGCTGTCTCGCTGCAGTTCCTCTGGGATCAATCCCGTAGCTGTGACTGATTGCAGCTACTTAGCTGAAGAGAGCAGCCTAATTCCCTTATCTCTCTATCCCAGACGGTACCCAAACTCTCTATGAGCAGAGAAGCTGGCAGCAGCCTGTGCGAGCTTGGGGCTGGCCCTGCCTCTCTTCCTTTGCTTTGTGGAAGCTTAGATTATGCTGCAGGACACCCGGGCCCTCTGTTCCCATCTCTTCTACCTTTGCCCTTTGCACACAAAGGGGCTTTGTCAGGGTTGTCTGGCTCATATTGTGCTACTGTTTGCAAAGTCAGTGTAACTTGAGAGCAGTCGTGCAGGAAGATCCAGGTTCCAGCTTCTTTCCAGTGCTCACTGCTTGGCCCTCTCCTCCAGGAGACAGAGCCTAGATGTGGCTTTGCCCCTGCATTCTGGGCTGTGGTGTGAAGGAACTGCCTCTTGCCTTGCCAGGGTGGCAGAGCCTGGCTGGAAGGGAGGAAGATTCACTTGCATTAGTCCTCTTGAGAGCAGGGTTAACTGTCAAAGACAGACTTCTTTTAAAAATAAAGGTTCCTAAAGCAGTGCTGCGGTGGTGGTGGATGTCATGAGGATGCACGCCCTCAGGAGGAAGGTGTGTATCCGGGTTGAAAAGTGGCCAAACTCAACTCACCATGGTACTCACCTGGACAGCCCATTCCCTCTCTGGTACTCAGCTCCTTACCCCTGTGAAGCTGTGGATGCAAGAGCCTGCCCAGGCAGGCAGCAGCATGTGTGCCTCAGAGAAGGGCCATCCTGGTGGTGCACAGTTGTGGCTAGGCCCGAGGTAAGAGTTGAGGGGAGGGACAATGTGTTCTCAAGAGCTGCAGCTTGTCCCTTTGTTCCTGGCCGGGAGCACCAGGCTGGCCCCCTCGGGACCCTGCTGCCCTGAGCAGGCAGCGGCAGAGCTGCCGCGGGAGGGATGCTGGTTTGTCAAACCGCTATAAAGATGCAGCAGGACTTCCCCCAGACAAGGGCCCGACTGCAGAAAGTCCCTGTGGTGGAAAAAAAGCCTGGCAAAGGGGAAGAGAAACTGACACAACGGTTCTCTAGAGGCTGGCTGGCTATTGATCAGACCTTGCTTATGGCAGGCTTGGTGCTGTGGCTGCGGGACGCTGTGAGTTTTCCTCCTGCGCAAGGGGTTGGGGGCCCCTGCCACTCATGGGAGCGGAGGGAGCCCGGCCGGAAAGGAGAGCCAGTGGCAGCCACTGCGGGCATTTTGCAATGAGCTGGCCTCACTTCTTCCCCAAGCAGTTGCTGGCCCTGCCTGACGCTGCTCAGGAGGAGGAGGATGGACCCTGGCCCCTCTCAGAGCCACAGCTTCTAGGGACTGGAAGGCAGTGCTGAATGGGGAGGGGCTGAGAGCAAGCCCCATACCTTGGCAAGGGCCTCGCAGTAATTTGAGGGGAGATTTTCATTGCCAGGGCTGGGTTTCAATGCAGGTGGCCACAGTGACGCGGCAAACAAGCAGGGTCAAGCCCCTTGCCTTCCAGTGCTTGCTCTGCAGCGAAGAAAAGCCTGTGGCTGCAGGCTGAGCAGGGAGGGAGCAGTGCCCACAAAGGTGGCAAGCGGAAACTGAAGCCAGCAGCAGTCCTGTGCGGGCTGGTTTTCCCAAGGCAGACCAAGGGGAGAGGAAGCAAGAAAAGCTACACAGTGGGGACAGTTTGTGGATGGAACCTCCACAGCGGCCCCTGGGCATTCACAAAACAGTTGCAACTCAGGAGGTTGAGGGCTGAGGTTGAGCAAAGGCAGAGCAAGCAGAGACAAAACTGAGCTAAATGCTTCTCCAAGCACGTGCCGGAAAATCCCACCCTGAGGACCAGAAAGGGTGGGCATCCTTGGGGAGAGCAGAGCCACCACAGAGGACAGATTGAGCTGGGTGATAGGCAAGCACAGGGTGCTTTCTGCAGTCAGGATGGGTGCTAGGGAGAGATAGCAGGAGGTGAGGCTGGCGCAGCTTCAGATAATGCCTGAAGGAAAAAATAGCGATTAGAAGATCTGAAGGCAAATGGGAAAAGCAACAATGCAGACGCACGTAGCAGAGGGCGAGCTGGCCAGCTTGGCCCCGTGGCTCGCTCCAAAGATACTTAAGTTTTGCAACAAAGGAAATGAGTCAAGCTGCTCACGTAGGTCCCCCACGCCTGTCCCAGTTCTCAGGATGGTCCCTGTGCTTGCACCAAGGAGCAAGCACAAAGCAACATCTGCACTCGCCCCACCACCAGTGCAGACCAAGTCACCCTGGGCTTATCTGTGCTTGCAGCTCTGGTCGTGCTCATCCATGCCACGCAGCTGTGTGGGACGCTGCAGGATCACCGGAGGGCACAGGGAAGTGCTCATGCACATGGGGACAGTGTGGTGTGGCACCTCATGGACAGGAGGCTCTTGGTGCATTTTTTTCCCAGGGAAGGCCGTGGCACCTGCTGAGCCGCGGGTGCAAAGGGCTGTCCAGCAAGGGGAATGCCACCCAGCCCTGGTGATGCTGAGCAGTGGTCCTGCATCCACCCATGGGCTGAGTCAGGACTGGAGAGCTGGCTACAGGGAACCCAGCAAGAGCCCTCCAGGCCCAGGCATAGCCCCAGCTTGTGCCAGCAGTGGGCAGCCCTCCCTGGCCCTGTCTGTGTGTCCTTCCATCACAGCTGGATGTGAAGAGCACAGCCACACGCCTGCAGTGCACACAATCACCCCATTTATTGTCTGACACCAAAAATCACAGCCTTGGAAAGATTCAAGTTTGCTGCAAAAATAAATAGTCACATTTTTCAAGCAAGGGGCATGGGTGAGCCAGTTCCCACTGGCAGGCAGCACACGCTGTGATGGCACAGGTGGTACAAGCCACCCTGAGCCCACAAGGTCTGGGGTCTAATGCCTTGTGGATGGCCGGGGGTCTTTGTGGAAGTTGAACATGGGTGGCCTGCAAAACCAACATCACCTCTGTCACTCCCAGCCACAGAGGGGAGCAAGGAATAGCCCAGGATGCGTTGGGATGGCCAAACGCCATCCCACCCATTGCCCAACCCCATAGGAAAGAAAGTACTAAGACCCCACCAGCTTGGGGGAGCCTGGGAGCAGCAGCACCCCCTAAACTTAGTAGTGTGGGAATGTGTTGGGGGGGACCTCAAGGAAATCTGCACTATGTAGGTGCCACCTTCCCAGTTCTCCCCTGGTACCAGCACCCTCTTTGGCCTGCACTCACCCTGTTCCCTTCCTTGCCCCCCTCCCCCTGTGCCCTGACGCCCCTCATGCCACAGGAATTGACCTCCCACCCACAAAAGGACACAGCACTGCTACTTACATCTCCAAGGCTTCATCCCTGGAGGGGAGAAAGAAAAGGGGACAGTGTTAGTGGGGCAAGAAAATGCCTCCTGGGACAGCTCAGCATCTCCCGGTGGGACAAAGTCTCCCCCAGGGCACACAGGGAGGGAGGCTGCAGGGTGCTATCATAGAATGTCCTAGGCTGGAAGGGACCTTAGAGATCATCTAATCCAATCTCCCTGCCATGGTCCCCTCCATCCCAGCTGCCCCATCTAGACATGGAGCAGTCTCCTATAGCCCCCGCAAAGCGTTGCTGCCCCCAGAGCATCACCGCTCCTCCCCCAGGCAGGTAGAGTGGGCCCCCACGCCTGCTGGGTTGGTAGCACACAGCTCCCATGATTTCAGTTCCCCTGAGTTTCCCCACCAGCCGAGGCCCTGCCTCCAGCCAGCTCAGACAACAATGGCTGCAGGGGGAAGCGAGAGGCACTACTGGCTCTGTGGGGACCGTGGGCTCACAGTGGGCAGGGCACAGCCCAGTGTCACGTCCTGCACACACCACATACAACCCTGTCATGGGGAGGAGGAGTGGAAAAGTCGGGGAGGAAGGCTGGTTGGGTCCTCAATGGGGTGCTGCAAACCTCAGCTTGCCAGGCAGCTGCAACCCTGGAGCAGAGGGTGGCAAGCAGGGCACCAGGGCCAGGGAGCCCCCAGCAGACCAGCTCCATAGTCCTCAGAGGCTGGAAATACAACTGGAGTTCCCTCATTACCCTCAGGGGTCTGTGGCTGTGCTGGCAGTGGGGCTGCTGGTCAGAGGGCCCCAAAGGGACAGGGGAAGTGTCCCACAGGGCTGGGGAGGGAGCCCTGGGGTGCTGGCAGCCACACGAGCAAGCACTGCACCCTCGTGGCAGCAATGTCAACCGTGCAGCACGTTGTTTTCTGCACAGTATCCAGATGTGCTCCCCCTTGGGGACCCCAGCATGAAAACGGGTGCAAAGTGGAGCAAGTCGGGTGGCAGACCCCGAAGCTGGGCTGGGGGCTGCAGCCCTGCCACGACACCTTTCTCCAAGGTGGGGGGGGTGGGTCATATGTCCCTTCAGCTGCCCAAAGAGGAGTTGCACAGCAGGCAGAGCCAGGCTCTTCTCCACAACATTTCCATCCTCTGAAGAGCCACTGAAGATCCCAAGCCACCTCCCTGGTGCCCCCAACAGCCTGCGCTACTTTAGGATCAGCCCCACGGGCTGCCATGGGACACGTAAGGGGCTGTTTGCAGTGCATGGGGGGACCCCAGAGTCCACGCGGTCTCAAGGGATGGGCATCTCCTCACCTGTAGACATCAGCAACGTCCATGCGGCGGTAAAATTTGGCAAGTCTGACGGCCAGGATGATGCTGGGCAGCAGGAAGACAGTGCACCAGCCCAGACTGAACCAGAAGGCGTTCTAGGTGCAGAGGGAGAGCCATCAGGGCCCAGACAGCAACTGAGAGAGCGTTTTCTGCTCCCAGGCTCCCTCCCCAAAGACCACCCACCCCTTCTTGCAGCCTGGCCTTTGCTCTTCAGCCACAGCAATGTGCCAGGGAGAGGCTGAGCCCTGCTTGCTCAGGACAGAAATGGGTACCTCTTGCCCTGTCTGTGAGGAGGACAAGGGGACCTTATTGCCACTTCACACACACATCACCCCAAACACTGCTGCTCCTCTCACCAGAGAATCCAGGAGGTAGTCGCAGGTGATGGCCTCCACATTATCCAGGGCCTGAGCTATGGGTTTGCAACGTGCCACATCTCCTGTCAGCTGGGGACACAGTGGGGACAGGATATGTCAGTGTCCCCAAAACCCTGCAACCCATTTTCCCCTTCCCTCCACCCCACCAAGGAGGGCTCAACTCACCCTGCTTTTGGCCCAGGAGATGTAGGTCCCAAAGAAGTTCAACAGTTCCTCCAAGAAAGCCTGTGTCTCCTGGAGGGGGCAAGCAGAGAGTGGAGATGCTGCACCCCCAACCCATTCCATGCCTGTCCCATGTCCCCTCTGTGTCAGGATCAGGGCTGTTGGACACCTCAACCCAGCAGCAATGGGGCTGCAAGCCCCCACCTGCCCCAGTCCCTTGCCTGGGTTGCCATAAGGGGAGGGGGCACCCAGGTGTGCAGGGGTCCCCCAGGAGAGACAACAGGACAGGACAAGCAGCCAGACATTGCTTGGCATGCCTGTGCAGGGGGAGGTCTTGGTGTAAAGGTCCGGTCATATCCCCATTGGGTGGCCCAGCAGCAGGGCAAGGCACACTCACATTCTCGATGATGTTTGTTATCTCCCTCTCCAGGAACACCTGGGTTTTGTTGGCTTTGTCCAGAGCAGCTTTTGTCTGTTCCTGGGGTGAAAAGTGCTCTCAGCAGTATGACAGGGAAAATGGAGTCCCCACATCTCCCCCTCTGTGCCCAGCAGCAATCCCTGGGGCATGTCCCCCAACAGTCATATGCTGGGAGTGCCAGAGTACCCCAAGTGGAAGGAGCCTGCACCCCATAAGCAGCCCCTACAGTGCATAATTGGGAAGCCCCAGATTAGCCACTAGCACCCCCAGACTGCAGGTTAGCCCCCACTATCTCCACTGCAGGATCTTAAGGGTTCTTCACAGGGTGCCTCGAACTGGAGTGCACTCAGAGGGCACCCTTGTACCACTCACCTCGAGTTGGGCAGCCCTGCTCTGCACCAAGTGGATGTCCTCCTTCAGGCTTTGCTGGGGATGGAGAGAGGAGGGTCAGAGGCACGGATCCCATAGCTCAGCCGAGACCTTGCCAGCGGGCTCCAAGCTCTGGGGGAGCCCAATCCAGCACTCCCGGGACCCTTCCCACCCCAGCATCGCTCACCATCAGCCCAGAGAAGTTCGTCTGCATCTCCTTGTCCAGCTCCCTCAGCTTGCTAGCATGAGCCTTCAGGTCCTCTTCCACACCCGAGTCCTGGAGGAGCTACAGTCAGCAGTGACCCACAGCAGGGGGGCCCTGCCCCACCACAGCCACCACACCACATAGGGGACCAGGCTGAAGAAAAGAGCTGGGCGAGGGTGAAGGGCTTTTCCTCCCCTCGGCAACCAGGCAGGTCTGGAGAGGAGTCCCTGCAGCCAGCGTCCCTGGGGACAGGGTAGCTATGGCCCTGGGGTGCCATGGTCTCTTACCCCACTGTCTGCCAGCTGCTCCAGCTCTGCAGCTAAATCCAGGAGGCTTCCCTGGGTCATGTTCTGATCCAGCTGGAAAAGGCAGAGGCAGAGCTGTGAGAATGGGGTTCACAGGGGGGCTGTACCCCATCCCTGTGGGCCTGAGTGGACCCAGGGCCTCTTGAGTGGAGGAGGTGCCTAGTTGCCCCAAGGGGATACCCTGGGCAGGGGATACCCTGGGAGGGGATACCCTGGGAGCTTGCAGTGGGACACCCTGGGAGCCTGCAGTGGGACTTTCACAGCAGCAAAGTGACCCCCTCAACACACACCTGGACCCCCCTGTCCCAATACCAGGCTGCTCTCAGCCCACCTGCTCCAGGGTCAGGGTGAAGTCAGGGGGCTGCCCAGCCCGGCTAGCATTCAGCAGCAAGTCTCTCTGGCTCTGGCTGAGCAGGCTGATGGGGCTCAGGGTGATGTTCATCTTCTCGAAGGCTGTAGAGATCTCACCTGTGTACTGCCAGAGCGAAGGAAGCCATGATGGGGCACTGGTGCCAGCCCCTCACTGTCCTCCCAGCACCAGCCTTGTGCCCCCAGCTCTGGCCCTCAGACCCTGGCACTGTCATGCCCACCTGACTGATGTTCAAGAGCTCATCCAGAGAAACACTCTCGTCCACGTGCAGCACTTGCCACAGGGCAGTGTCTTGCTGGCATTGCCTGCAGGAGCGGGGCACAAGGCTGAAAACGGGGCAAGCAAGGGCCACCTCCTCCCAGGAGCATGTCCTCACCTGCATGGGCAAGTCACACCTTGCTCCCTGCCTGGTATCTGTGCCTGCCTGCAGCCAGGGCAGGTAGGGCAAGCTGGCCCTATCCCAAGGAGCATCCAAGGGCAATGAGCAGCCCTCCCTAAAGAAGTGGTGCCAGGGCTGGGACCCACCTGTATATCTCTGAGAAGTTTGCTGTGCCATCCTCCTGTCCCAGCAGCTCTGACAGACTGAGGCCAGGAATCAGCCCGGGGGTGTCCACGAGCTGAGAGCAAAGGAAAAGATGGAGAACCCAGGCGTGATGCAAGGCAGGACACCTGGGAAGAGCATCCCAAACGGGCCAGGGCTGCCTCTGCTCCACCAGCAGCCCTTGGAAAGGCAGCAGTGGCTCCAGGCAAGGGTGTTTTCCCACAGGAAACTCACCTGGAAGAGCTGCTGGCTGCGCCAGGACTCACAGACGAGCATGTAGATGTTTCCCCCCAGCATGAAAGTGATTAGCACCAGCAGCATCAGCAGCCAGGAGAAGATGAAGCTGAAGCCGACCCCTCTGCAGGACAGAGACACCATCAGCACCCAAGGCCCCGAGCCCCGGCGCTGGTGCTAGCATTGCCTCCAGCTCACAGGACCCAGAGCCTTGCCCCACCAGAAGTGCCAGGAAGCACCACCATCCCCACAAGCATCTCTCCCCTCTCCCTTCAGGCCCTGGAGCATGGCTGGGCTGTACCCTGGAGCCCAGACCCCAGCATCTCTTCCCTCAGTTTTGCAAGCCGTCACCACCTGCAGAGCCATGGGACCACACACACTGCCCGCCAAACAGGCTCCACTCCAATGCCTTTCACCTGCACGTTTTACCCTCACGTTTACCACCTGCATGGTGAGAGTTGCCATAGGGCAGGCCATTAAGTAGCAGTAATTCGATGATTTAGAAGCTTGAGCACTCCCAGGCCAGCCCTGCCCACCCATCCTACTGCTCCCACAAGCATCCTCGGCAGCCTCACGCCATGAAGAAGTTCCCGCCAGCGTTGGAGAGGCTGCTGCGCTGCGTGGGCAGCACGCTCTCCTTCAGGCCCAGCGGGCCCAGCATCACCCCGAAGAGGTTGCAGAGGACCACCAGCAGCACCATGCAGCACAGGAGGGCACACACGCTCCACCTGGGGCAAGAGGGACAGGAGTCAGACAGCAGGACCTGGCACCCCGAGCAGCGCCCAACACCTCATCAGCTGCCCTCTCGGGGAGGAGAAAGGCCCCAGGCACCCTGGCAAAGAAGGGGCACTAGTGGCTACGAGGCAAAGCTCTTGTACCCGTCACTGAGCAAACCTCCACCTCCAGCAACTGGAGGATCGAGAGCTTGAGCCTCTCTGGACAAGGGAGCTGGGGGATGCAGCAGCCCCTCGCCTACCTGAGCCCATCCGAGGGGATGATCAGCCCCCTGTACTCCTCCAGCGCCGATGTGGCATTGCCCACAAAGGCCCCAACATTCTCCTCCACATCCTGGAACAGCAGCCGCTCCTGCAAGCTCCAGATCTCCTGTCTGATGAGACCGCGGCCCTCCCGGAAACGCCAGCCGCTCCTGCAAGCTCCCGATCTCCTGTCTGATGAGACCCAGCTGCTCCTGGGTCTCTGCAGGGGATGGGGACAGGTGGGTGCTGAGAAATGCTGCCTGGGTCCTGCTCATCTCGGGCAGTGGGGGACTGGGAGAGGGCCGGAAGGGGGTGGTCTTCCTCGAGGATGGAATCAGCATGATAGCACATGGGAGGCTTGGGGACAGGGCTGAAGGCAGAGGTGTGGCAGCAGGGGAGGTCTCCAGGCAGGAGTGGGATGAGAAGGGAGTACAAAGCCCTGGGAGACGGGGAATTTGGCACATGGGGCACAAAGTCCTGCTTACTTGCCACCACGTCCTGGGACTGCTCTTGCACCTTGTCAGGGGCCGTGTCCAGCGTGCTGTTAACCTGCAGAGTGCACAGCTCGTGTCCCTGCCTGC